ACACGCCATGGGAGACAAAGGCAGACAAGGGGAGACAAAGCAAAGTCATCTCAGCCCAGCATCCAGACACGCCATGGGAGACAAAGAGGGACAAGGAGAGACAAAGGAAAGCACGCAGACACGCCATGGGAGACAAGGGGAGACGAAGGGAGACAAAGCAAAGTCATCTCAGCCCAGCATCCAGACACACCATGGGAGACAAAGGGCGACAAAGGGAGACAAAGCAAGATCATCTCAGCCCAGCATCCAGACATGCCATGGGAGACAAAGGGGTACAAAGCAAAATCATCTCAGCCCAGCATCCAGACATGCCATGGGAGACAAGGGGAGACAAGGAGAGACAAAGCAAAGTGATCTCAGCCCAGCATCCAGACATGCCATGGGAGACAAGGGGGGACAAAGGGAGACAAACCAAAACATGCCATAGGAGACAAGGGGAGACAAAAGGGAGACAAAGCAAAATCATCTCAGCCCAGCATCCAGACACGCCATGGGAGACAAGGGGAGGTGAAGGGAGACAAAGGAAATCATCTGAGCCCAGCATCCAGACATGCCATGGGAGACAATGGGGGACAAAGTGAGAGAAAGCAAAATTATCTCAGCCCAGCATCCAGACATGCCATGGGAGACAAGGGGAAACAAAGCAGACAAAGGGAGACAAAGCAAAATCATCTCAGCCCAGCATCCAGACATGCCATGGGAGACGACAAAGCAAAATCATCTCAGCCCAGCATCCAGACACGCCATGGGAGACAAGGGGAGACAAGGAGAAACAAAGGGCAGGAATCATCTTGGCCCAGCATCGTTTCTATGCAAGAATTGAGAACCCCTCACAGCAAAGCTGTTTAAAAAGCGGTACTGATAAATCGAGACACGCTTCCTCAAGAAAATCATGAGAGAGAGGTATATAGATGTGTGTGAACGCACAGATACGCAGAGGAATCTCTCTCTCTCTCCCCTGCTTTTTTTCCAAAGCTCATCTGCCGCAGCGCCCCACCCCGCAACCGTCTCATGAGCTCCAACCCCACCGCATGTCCCGCACGTTGGGCCACCAGCGCTGCCAGAAGAGCTGTGACCACCGGTGCCTCGACGGAGGTCACCTCCGTCGAGACCGTGATGCCGCGCAGGGCCGCCGCCCACTGGCTCCGCCACGTGCAGGCCGTGATCAGGGAAGCACGGCCCAGCTCATCAAGCTCCAAGTCAACTCCGCTGATCGCGCTCGAAAGCACCAGGCTCCGCTCCCAAGAGGCAGCCTTCGCCAGAGCTTCCAGGGCCACATTGACGCTGATTCCATCAGTCTCAATGCCCAAGGCCGGCGCCAACAGCAGCGCAGCAAAGCGCCACCTGCCACCCCACGACCTATACTCAAAAACCACCGAATGACCAACATTGAGTGAACTGCGTATCGCAGTTCTGTTAGTACCAGCCCCCTTCTGCATCAGGGGGGCCGACGTCGTGCGAGGGACCAAATTGACCAACATCGCTGGATGTTCCTTTTCTCCGGTTCACATGATTATGTTGCTTCCTGAAGAGGAGCAAAAACGGAGAAAAAGTCGTCATGTGTGTGTGGATGAATACATGTATACAGTGCACTCCTCTAAGTGTATACAGCACACTTTCTCCCGATCTTCTTCGCCAGAGCACCGGTGGCCCTCGCCCAACGCCGTCGCCGCCGCGTTGAGCCCCGAGCTGTCGGTCGTCTCGGTCGACGGGCCGATGTGGCTGGGAACGCGCCGCGCCGCCGCCAGGAGCTCCAAGGCGAGCGGCCAGGTGCGAACTAAGGACGAGAGCCCCGAGTTGTAGCTGGTGGAATCCAGTTCCACACTCCAAGCATCAACTCCTCACATTGGGATGGAGGTGGCGGACTGTTGGTAGGGTTTGGGAGGGCTTGGGAGCTGAAGCATAACAAACGTGCGGCAGATTTAGCCGCATAGGAAGTCCTTCCCTTGCTTTAGGTGCTTCACTATACATGTCCCTCACTTATATGATGTCACTGGCTTAAGCCTTCATCGCAGACTCTTCGAACAAATACCTCATATACTTCATACTGAGCGATATAGACTCCTGTTCCCAGCTCCCAACTCCGGACGTGCCATTTCGCTCCCGTCCCTCCTTGAAGGAGTTGCATCGCCTGCGGCCACACGTGGCTCTTCGCACAGGAGGACACCGCAGCATTCGCCAAGACCGTGCTGCAAGAAAGGTCGGCCGCACGGGCCCCCGGCAGCAGGGCCATGGCCGATTCCTGGGAAGGCACTGGTGGAAGAGGCACATCAAGCTGTCCGGATGGAGGAAGGCAAGGCAAGGAAAAACAAACATGGAATTTGTCCCTATATGTCTTTTTGGGGGGGACGGTGTGGTCAAAGAAACGGACCAAAGACAAAAAACAAAAGGATCAAAGAACGGGAAATTATCCAAACATACCGAAACAGCCTTTATTAAGCAATCCGATGATTCCCAAAAGTTCCCCTTCTCACAAACGTTGCAGGCGGCACCATATACAGTGACATCCAGCCTTACCTGTCGATGGCGAGCCTGCTTGAGCAAGTCCACACTCTTCCAACAACTCTCGCCTTCACATGAAGAAATGGCAGCGCTGTAGATCTGCTCATTGGTGAGATCATCATCCAGGCTGTCCAGAAGCTTCAGTGACAATCTGCTTTGGCTCGCACGGGCCAAGGCAGTCATCGCCGCACCAAAGCTTACCACATCCGCTTTACCTTTCATCTGCACATCCTCCAGGAGCGCCAAGCTCGTGGGCCAATTGCTTTCAAAACCCAAAGAGCTCAAGGCAGCATTGCACGCGATCGAGGAGAACACAGGGTAGTTCCCCCTGCCCTGCACCACACCCGCGAGACTCTCCTCCCAAGCCAGCTGTCGGCTGTAGGAGCTGATCAATGTGTTGGAAGTGACCACATCGGGCTCCGCCGCATTCTGCCGCATCAAGCGCAACAATCTCTGCACGTGCGCAGCATCCGCAAAGGCGCAAGCTCTGAATGCACTGTTGAAAGCGATGACATCGGGCCTCTCCAGGCGGGATTTGACTTTCATCAGAGCGGACTCACTTCTGATACACAAAACCATTCCCAGCGGATCCCAGTTACCACTCACTATGTAAGGAACCAGGGTTTCTAGGTCTACTACGGTTTTAGTCTTTGGAACCACTTTTGTGGGATTGATTTGTGTTAGATGGGAGATCCTCGACCCCTGTTAGACACCTGGAAACGTCCCTGTTAGACACCATGGCAATTCCCTCCGATCACCCCCAATCCAAACTGGCCAAACCACCAACCACCCGAAGCCTCAAGGACTCACCAAACAGCTGCTCCAAGATCAAGAAGGCTCGTGGCCACTCAGCCTCCCTTGGTGCCACAGCCGCCATCGCCGCGCTCTGCCCCACCACCGTGCCGCACACGCTGCGCAGCTCGCGCGCGCCACGCAGCAGGCGGAGGCAAGCTGCCCAGCGGCCGCCCTTCTCACAGGCGCTGACCGCAGAGTTCAGCAACCTGTATGGAAAGAGTCTGAGAGCCCCCCAAGTTCAATGGCAAAACTCTAGATGAAGACTCTTCTTTAAGCCTTTCCGACACGAATCAGAAGTCACAGGTGTTGTGAGCAGTCTTTGGCTCAAAACAAAAAGTATGATAGAATCAGATCATTGTAACTGTAAAACATATTAACTATATATAAATATGCATATAGAGAAAAAGCGGGGTGCGTGTACTGTGTGCGTGCACACCATCATATCCAACAGTCCAGCTAAGCAACACTTCATTGATTTCACCCAGACCCGCCAGCAGGCTCACCGCCCAAGACCACTGCGCCGCCCGTTCGGTGGCACTCAACGCGGCACCGAAGACATAGGCATCGGCGCGCAGGTGCACGGCACGCAGCAGCTCCACGAGGCCCAGCGCCACCGTCCAGCACGAGGCCCGCGCCGCGGCGCTGATGGCCCGCGTGGGCGCCGCCAGCGGGTGCGGCGCGGCGTCGACCGCGGCGCGGCGCAGCGCGGCATGGACCGCGGCCAGGGCCTGGAGCCAGTCGGAGCGTGGAGCCATGGGGATGGTTGGGGAGATGAATTCTGACAGCTGGAGCCAAAACAGGCGACTCAAATGCAAAAATGTCCCACAGTCTCCACGCGCAGTGCACACAGAAATTGCCTATACCATCCTATACCCTATACCTACTCAATTCCCCCCCCCCCCGACCCCCCATCGCAAAGGACACAGCCAGCGATTCTGAGCCCCCACGCCATTCTGAGCCCCCTGTGATCCCTCCATCTCCTCCTTCACTGGCAGTGTCAGCTTCACGGACCGGCTCAGCACCTCCACCCGCTCCACCCGCTCCACCCGCTCCACCCGCTCCGGCTTCGGCGGCAGCGTCAAACTCCCCGCGCCCGGCGCCACCGGCCGCGCGGGCGGCGCGGCCGCCGAGCGCGGCAGCGCCGGAACCGTGCCGGCCACGGGGCGCGCCACCGGGGCACCATGGAGCGACAGGGCCGCGACGGCCTGGGAGGGAGAGGCGTGGGACCGGCGTAGCGCCGGTCCAAAGAACATGGTCGGTAGAAGAAAAAGGCTCCGCAGTGGGGAGGTGAAGCAGTCTGTTGGAGCAAATCCTTCGCAAGAATTTCGAGAGGAAAAGGAAAAGCCAGGCCTGCGGGTTCAAATGTCCATTCACTTGCTTGGCTCCATGAGCAGTTTGCCTCGAGAGTGAGCTGCGAAGATGGACCCCGCACGCGATCACCGTCGGTGTTCGGTCATTGGTCGGTAAGGTGACAGAACTCTGCGAAGTCAGTGGGCATGATCACCATGTCACAGTTTCGAGTTCCAAAATGCTGATACTCAAAAACCATACATCAGATTATACATGGACCATCCCGAAGTGGTCCCCCGGCTTTGGGATCCATCCATGAGTAGCTGCCTCGCGCCGCAGTAGCGTTCGCCGTCCCCCGGGCCTCTGGATCTGCTGCTTGGTGCCTGGGGTCGTCCACCGCGGGGCGTGATGGGACGGAGGCGTCAACCAGAATCACTGTGGCATGTAGGTGAGAAAACACCATGAGGAGGTGTGATGAACTTTCAATGTGAAAAAACACGAACAACTCTCAATCATCTACATGAAATCATTATGTAAGACTCAAAAGGCCCCCAAAAACAGCAAAAAACACTCAACCCCAACAAGCACGTGCGTAACACTGTAACACCCACGGTGTCGTTGCCGAGAAGTGCCACCCGCTTCTGCCTCAAACGTCAAGGGGGTTGCTGGGCCAAATGAACGAGCCGGCCAGGGGGCACGAGGTCTATCACAAACCTACAACTATGACCACAACCAGATCCGCAATCTGAAAGTCAGTCCCTGGAAGAAAGGTCCCTCAAAGCAACGCTCTAGCCTCCACACCAGGTATATAACCCCCAAGGACATAGTATCATGAAAGCCCAAGCCGCGAAGGATTAAAAGCTGCTTGGCGGGGCAAACCACGCCCATTTCACGGCGTCTGGCGGATGCTTTCACCGCTGTAGGAACCCGACCGATCACCCCCCTAACAGAGCGATCGAGAAGCTTTCGATCTGCTGCATCAAGGAGTTCTGCAGTTTCGTGACTTGCTGGAGGATCACCTCAGCTCTGCCCAGAGTTTCTGCTGCAAGCTCCCACCCTTGCAGGGCGTCCGCAGCGTTCGGGGTCTGGTTTACTCAACTGGCGTCTGGCCGTTGGCATCCGTTGGCCGCTACAATGACTTCCAAGACGCAAGTTAACTGCATGCAGCATGTGCAGCATGCATAGTCTAGAATCTCTAGAAGTCGAAGTACTTACAGAATTTATGCCGAAACCAAGGCGGAATGACCACCGCACCACTGCACCCACCCCCTTGTGAAAGACTCCACTGGTGGCGTTCGATGAGCCGGCTCCCGCGTGAGCCAGACGGTTTGGGATCTGATTGTGGAGTCTTCCTCCCCCCCATCCACCCCCCTAGACTTCCTTAGTTGATTCGGGATTCAGCCTATGAAATTAATGGTGGTTGGAAGTCTGGGGACCCTGGTTCCGGAACTCATCCTTCAATGCCGGGCACCACCCACGGCTCTCCTCTCTCCTCTCTCCTCCGGCCTCATCCGTCTCCTCCCTGCGCCCATTTAGCGCGAGGCTGGAGACCGGAGGCACCTGCGGGCAGGTGGGGGGCACCGGTGGGGTGTTGGAAGGAGTGGGGAAGAGTGGGTTGGATCACCGAAACCCGGTATACACCGTACACTGCCTGAAATCATGGAAGTGGATGACTTGGCCCCTTGGATTGCCTTGGATGACCCTCTTCCGAAGACCAAACGTCGTGGTGTTCCACTTCACTTCCATCTGGTGGAGTGTAAACGGCCTGGATGAGTCGACGGGCCCATGCGCGACCGGCGCCCTGGTCACCACTCGTCGCACTACCAGTTGGTCGAAACACCGCGACACTGCTTGGTGTGCAGAACATGTGTCAAACCTGCCCCCAAAACCACTCAAGCCGGCCCCCAAATCAGAACTGCCTCCATACAACATGTCCAGAGTGAACACCCCTCGCTAAGCACATGCACATGCAGCGCGGAGCAACTTTTCCATGACTGCTTTCTGTGAGTGAACAGCTTATGTGATTCTCTCTATGACTTGTGTGACTATGATCCTCTCTCGTGCTGGCGATGTCTTACAGCTCCGGACATTCCCCGAGGGAAGTGTACTTCACGATGACCTCACTACCAGCGTGCGACACACAACCCCTCCATGCGCATTCCGGAATGTCACAAAGAGCTCCTTTACCTCGTCCCAACAAACACTTGACTACGAAGTGGGCCTGTAGGCTGTCCACCAACGACTGGTTTACATCAGAGATGCCTGTCTCGGCCATGAGTCCTGCCAAAATATCGGCTTCATGATAATACTTGTCGTGCAGTCTCTGCATTGACAAATCAGAGGTCTGCCATTCGACACTTGCACATTGTGCTTCCGATATCTTCTCAACATAGTCATAATCATTCACCAACTTTTGGCGGGGCATGTCGTAATAACCGTTCAAGTGGCAGTAGATGTCCACGATTGGGTCGACATAGTCACAAATGGTCAGGAGCGAACCATTGGGAAAGCGGAGCGTCTTGGGCGTTGCATTCTTCTTGATGGGCACCGCACTTTCCTGTTTATAAACCTCGAAGTAAGGCCGCACGTCTCGAAGCTTGTGGCACGCTGCGCAAGCACTGATGCATGGGTCCACAGCACCAAACACGCACCATCCGTCCTCTTCGGGGTGTTTTCTTAACACATCAAGGATAGGCTGTCTCAGGTACTCTTTAGGCAAATCGGCCATGCACACGCCGCCCAGCGCAGCCCAATTCGTTGCATTCGCAACACCGACAGCGACCTGCAATTGCAAATGGGACATATGGCAATCATCGTCGCATTCTATGGGCTGCGCTGCAAGTGGCTGCGCTGCAAGTGCCATGGCCATGGAAAGCGCCATGAAAGCCATGAAGGCTATGTGGCTACAATCCCGTGGCTTTACCTGCTCTTCATGCTAATCCATGTGGGCTCAAGTGATCTCAAAGTGCCCATACGGCTGCAACATGCTGCAACAATCTGCACGTTTCAGGCAACCGTGTCATGAACCCGAACTCAAAACACAGCATAAACAAAATTGTTTTGACAAACCAATGGGTTTTGCCAATCGTTTCATAATTCATAAAAGAGGCGGCTGTGTTTCTACTTCTTGCTCTCTCTCTCTCTCTCTCTCTCTGTGCTACGGTAAGATCATCAAAGTAAGCTCAAGGTGCGCATGAACCGGTTCTGCTCACTTTGCTCCGGAGTCTCCCTCTTTCAACATCTCTCTTTAGCTGCCACGTTCTGCGGGCCATTTCGTCATCTTCGCTCGTCCGGCAGCGAACTGAGCGACTTGACTGGTACATGTGACGGCTACAAGCACGAGAAGGAGTCCCATACCAGCACCTTCCAACAGGTCTCCTCTGGAGCTTTTGTAGACATAAAAATCGCGGATGACCTGTTGGAAGGTCCTGGTAGAAGACCCCATTTTCGACCAAGTCCTCCTCGGGTTCTTTCTCATCTGGTCCGACTGTGAGCAGTCCGGTCAGTCCGTCTGAAACGGCGGGAAACGGTCTAAGACCTGAAAAAACCGGCAGAAGCATGGTCAGATCGGTCAGAAGCGCGGTGAAACTTGAACCGAAATCGAGTGAGTATATGTTGTCTTTTTCCATTTGTCCCTTTTTTCGTCCGAATTGAAGCTGAAGACAACTGAACCAATGTTCCATTTAATGAAATGTATACAGTATACTGTATGATTTGTCCATGTTTCCATATTCCGCAACGAAGCTGCGGACGTTGGAGACCCAGTCAGGCCCCACGTCCAGGCCTTCGAGAGCAAGGACCTGGGCCAAGGGATATGGGAAGCTGAAGGGTGCATCAATCAATTGGAAACTTTCCAACCGGGGACCCTCATCAGCAGGTGATTCAGACTGCTCATCTCTATCTCTCTCTCTATCTCTCTCTCTCTCTCTCTATTGCCTTGAAGCAACACCCTTCCCATCTTTCCACTCACCTGACTCACCTCACTCCTCCGGACGCCCAGCCAACCCTTCTGATCTCCGGACGCCGGTTGGAGCCGCACCGGCGCAGCCTCGGCACACAACGGCCGCCGGAATTAGGACCGATGGAAAGCCTGAGGCTTCATGAGAGGTTCTTTTTTCATGAATCCACCTATCATGAGGCGGAATTTGGTGAACATGAAGACTGAGTCAAAGAAGAAAACCAAACAGAAAGAACAACAGATGTACCCGCAACTCTTGCTTGGGGCGCGGTCGTGGCCTCGTGACCCAAAAGGCACGGGAGTGTGCTGAAAGAACACCTCTCACACCTACAAAACCAGCCACACATTCCAGGATTTTCTCTGGAGCTGGAGGCAGTCTCAATGGACCTCCTTGGAAGGCATAGTTTCTGAAGACTAGTTTCTCAATACAGCACCATTTCTGAATACGACTTTGTTCCTCCTTGGAACCTCCGTGGAGGCTTCTCTGTGAGGGAGGCTGGAGAGACAGTGCCCCGTCTGGGCCCCCGGACGGCAGAAGCCTTGCAGGCAGTGCGAATGGGGCCTCAAATGGTGAGCGCCGGACATGCAAAAGGCCGCGATGGTTCTGCGGACTGAAGAATACAAGCATGTTGTTGTGTTGTTTTTTGGGGTGATGTGAGTGGTGGTGAGCGAACAAATTGGCAAGTGCAAAGTGCAAAGTAGAAGCGTTTCTACAATGTCATGTTGTGATTTGCTGCCTTCTGGATGCTTGCTCCTTGGTGTATATCTTTTTCCGTTTTGCTGACCACTGCTGTCAATCCTGTGCACCGCCAACACGAGATCAGACCGAGCGGATGCTCCTTGGGATGAAAGACCCGACGAATCCGAAAGGAGGATCGGACGCCGACGCACGCAGCCGCCACACGCACGAATAGCTTGGGAAAATGCAATGAGAGTATACTTACTTATAATTAGAGTACTTCGACTTCGACCCCAGTTGAACTCTGGCTTGGCCTATTAGGAGCCAAAACATTGTCATGTTATATAAATCACCTGCATCTAGAGCTCCAAATGAATTCGAGGCTCATTCGGTCCCACCGTCGCTTCGCTGGTGCTTTTCGGTGTGTTCCGCCGTCAACTCGCTCTGCGTGCCGGGCTCATCCGTCGCGCCGTCCGGGCGGTGGCCAAGGGCACCTCCGTCCCCTCGGACCTCGGTGCCGCCGGTGCCCGGGCTGCTGGGTAGAGGATGGGTAGAGGCCTCAGCCCCTGCCTCCCGGTAGCGCCTGGCAAAAAGTAACGATAACCTAGGCATCACATGCCGCATCGCGCATGAAAATAACCTACCTGGGAAGCCAAACAACCAGAAACAAATGGATGTTTCCCCAAACAGCCATTTCCTATGTAAAGGATTTCAATTGCCATATTGGAACAACCATTTGTTTCTGGTTGTTTGGGTTTCCAGGTAGGCAAGTGCAAACTGGACATGAAAAAAAAATGTTCCTTTCTTCCGACCCCTCCAACCCCTGGAACGCCAGCAGCTCAAGCTGCGTTTCAACTCCACCCAGGCGAGGCGGTCTCTTCACGGAACGAAGGGGGGCGGAGGGCGCTCTTGGTCCGAAGCAGCCAGAGATCAGCGGGCGCGCGGTGGGTGGGAATCGAAGCGGACCCAAACATGGAACGCCCCGAAATCAGGGACGCAAATCCCGGCATTGGGAGTTCAACCGGCTCGGTGGGCACTGGAGTGGGCACGGACGAAAAAGGCTTGCAAAAGGATCCGTTTTCGGGAGACGATCGGGCTCCTGTTCCGAGCTGGATCTTGCGGAAAGCAATTCCATGCCTTCCAACCGACGTCACACGCCATTGGGGCTCCCAAACGTCCCGGAGACTTGCCGGCTGCCAATCACACCTGGTGGACTCTTAAATGATCTTAAATGCTTCACTCGGCATCTGGGTGATTGTGGAAATTTCTGGAGCTCTGCAAATAGAATTGACATCGGGAAGCTGGTGAAACGCCTTCCAAGCATCGGAGACTCTCCAGTTTCTGTGGAGGGGGGGGGTCACCGGTGGGTGTCTACCGTGGGTCACGCCCGAACACCGCGGCCTGCGCATGGAAGCTGCTGCACCTCGACAGTGACGGCCGAGGTCGCGACAGCACGTCGCTGAAACGGAAAAGGTCACCAACAGAGGCCTCCAAAGATGGGTCACGAACTGAAGAAGCTGGAGGAACCTCCGGGAGTATGGCGTAGCAAACAAGAAGGGAACAAGCCAAGCCACAGGCGCCCATATTGGTGAAGGGGATGCGTTGGAGCAAAACCACGGAGGTGAAATGGAGCCACACCCACTCCAGGATTCCTCCCCAAGAACATCATGCGCTCCATTTGGAGCCTGAAAGACTTCCACTCAGCTCCTGGCGAAGCACCTTCGATCTGCACTGCCTGGGCGCGGGCAGATCACATCCGGATTTTGAAGGTTGGTTTCTGTCACCGTTTCTGTTGGAGCTCCAGCCAAGCAAATGATCAGACGGGTCAACGCACACTCACACAACAGCAAACCAGAAAATTGCTCTCAACAGCTCCAGCCAAATTGCCTAATGTGCTCTCTTCTACCCACTTCTGCATTTGCCAAGGCCTTCCTTCACTGCGAACCTGCTGCTTCACCCCGAGTGTCCCAACTCGATCGGTGCACCGTTGGCACGACCGCCTTAGAGCGGGGAAGGCGGGAGAAAGCGCACCAAGGTGGAACACCCTGGCCCAATTGGCACGTTTGAAAAATGTGGAAGCCCCCTACACGCCAGTGCTTTAGGGGTTCCAACTGCTCTACATCATCCTGGCAATGGAGCTGGGAGTGGGAGTTCCAATCCTGGTCGAACCATTTAAAAACGAAACTTTATAGATTTATAGACTTTATAGATGTGCACTTCTTGAGTGGGGAACGTTTATCCCCAGAACGGAGGACAAGTTCAGCATCAACTGCCAACATCAACTGCCTGCATTCATCTAACAATGAATCCTCCGTTGCTTGGCATCAACAGACCCAACTGGGTCACCTTCGGACCGAACATTGGATCCTTCTGTCAGTGTCACGCCGACTCAAAGCTGCCCTCCTATCCTCCAGCCCGGGGCGCCATCAGGGGGCCTAATGCCTTTGGATTCCTCGGCCACCCGGACGGTGTGCGTGGTGTTAAAGGTCCTCCGTACCGAAGGCGGCCTCGGGGAGGGGGGCGAGGCCCCGGACCGGTGTGTCCCGGCCAGTCCAGCGCAGGTCCCGGCGGTCTCTGTTGCACGACGGTTTTGGGTTCGGGTCCGGACCCCTGCTATGGAGGGTCTGGCCTCCCTGTTCCACATGTACTAGTCAGAATTGGCCAACCATCTCGTATCATTCAAAGTGGATCCAGGAGAAATTCTTTTCCCTGGCGAGTTTGGAGGCGATGTTCGCCAAGACCAGCAGTGAAGGATGGAGATGCTCAATCCGCGGTATTGTGGAGGCGGCTTGCTTCAGGATACATACAGGTTCATATTGTTCCTAGTATCTTCTTGTTGCTCGTATATCGTAATGCCGTTCGTAGCATCCTTGCTCCGGTCGGTTCGCGATGCCCTTTGGTTCCACGACGCGGAACGAGGGCCCTGCGGAACGCGGTTGGGAACTCCCAACTGCATCGAAGGTCCTGGAGCCGTGAAGGTGATCAAAACACCCAGCATTGGAAGGGATCACTCCACCAAGCGAAAGCCATCAACAAAGCCATCATCAAGGTTGAACATCGTGTCATCTAACTCTGGATCTCAGTCTCGTCTCCTAGAAGCACGAAGAGGTTCAGAAGCACAAGGGGGTGATTTGGTGCAATGCCGTCTGAAAACCGCTCATACCCCCAGCCGTGAAACACGTGAAACACGATGTCAAACCAACATTGCTTCATCCACGTCCGACCTTGAAAACCCCCCAAAAAAAAGTCGGACGAAGACCGAAAACCCGAACCAACAAATAGAAAAAGGTTAAAAAGAGCCCCCCGCCATGCCGAGTCCCGGAACCACCGGCCACACCTGCTTGAAATGGAGCCTTCAGCACCATCCGAGCTTCGGACCTCAGCCGCGGCCGCTCCGCCCTCGTCCGCCGTCGCCGGTCCCAGTCCGCTGCCGGGGCGCCCGGGCGGCACGGCACCTCTCCCTGGCGCCACGGGGGACTCAGAGTACCGCGGAAGGCGGAAGGGGGGAAGACTCAAAAAGGTCCTCGTGAGCCAATGGGCAGTGGAAATGACCTACGAATTGGGTTTCTCTTGTGCTTCATCCCCACAAAAACATACTGGAAGTCTCCACAGGCTGAACTCTTTACATTCTTGAACTCCCAGCTGGCTTGGGAGGGCTCAAAAGGATCAGAACAGCAGCCCCTGACGCAGGCTCGTCTCGACCGGTGCCTGCAGGAATCTGCTGAGGAGTCGAGATGCCAGGCCTTAGAGGACGCTCTCAAAAACGGAGAAAAAGAAACACGAATGCCCAACTGCAACGCGAACGGAACCAACTGCAAGGGTTGTGGGGTGCGAACTCTTGCTGCTTTCTTGGCGAACGGAGCACGAAGAAGAGGGATGTTCTCGGTTTGGCTTCAACAGGCCGGTCCGTGGAAAGAGATGAAAGCCGGTCTTTCTTGGGAAGATCGTGGGCACTTCCAGTTCTTTTGGGCCTCTTGTTTTTGAGCGGGCTTCCGATCTTAGACCGTACCAGTGAGATACTACGAGTGAGATGATGAAAGGAGGACGGACTCAGGAGGCAAACTGGTGAAAGTCGTAGACGTCAACGTTGAAGTATCAGGGAGTGGGCATGAGGGTTAGGCAGCCATGTGACAGGGCGAAGAATTGATACCAGGAAATGATTGCAATGCCTGCGAGGGCTGTCTGTGTGGCATGCTCATCATTGCAAAGGCTGTGCAAGTCGGTAGTCTTGAGACATGCAAGTTGAAGGACGAAAGGTTGGTAGAGCATCAGAGCATCGTGAAATGCAGCAGGAAAGTCTGAAGAAAACCATTTTGAGAAGACTGGACGATGACCAAAAACGGGTCCTTCCCCAAATGAATTCTGGATGTTGATGCGACCGCCCCACCCCTTTCTGTAAAGCGACCCGTCAAAACGCACGCGCTCGAAAACGCCAGCGTCCAACAGGCCCTCCGGCCCGGTCGTGGCCTCAAACGGCGGTGTGGTCAAGCTCTGTGTGTATGTATATATATATATACCCTAGGATTCAAACAACCATTGTTTTAATGGTCTGTACCAAAGAACCATTGTATTTACTAAGGATTTTTACACTACACCACCAGCTCAACCGTTCTTTTAATGGTCTTTGAAGGCTAGGGTATATATATATATATAGACCTGGACCATCCTGTCTGGGTGTCCAATGGACATCTCTAAGTAGTGTAGGGTAGTCCATTGGTCGTCCTGGTATATACCGGTGAGTGTTGTTTTGGAACAACAATTTAGACATATATCACATGTGAATACACATCCAAAACTCCAAGAAAAAGAAACAATAGACAGCACCACCACATCTGTTGAGGGAAGTCTTCTTTTCAACCCCCCCCCTTTTTGCCACTTCCTCTTGGTCTAGAAGTGTGCGTACTTCAAAGTCACTCCTTCACCGAGCTCCTCTTCCCTGCGGCCCATGCGGAGAGGTTCACCATCTCAACTCGACCTCAAACACTACTTGCTGAGGCCACATGAGGTGAAAGGCCTCCAGGTGAGGAAAAGGCCTTTGCCAAACTGTTGGGGGTCTGTGACTGGTCTCGACCTGAAAGTCGATGGGTCCGACGCCGGTCTTTCGTACCTCCGTCGGGGTACCCTTCTCGCCGGTGACCCGTCTTGCGACGGTCGATGCTCGTCTTGCGCACGGGTTCCGGCAACGCTGTTTTTGTTCGGCCTCATTGAGGGGAGGAGAGGGAGACAAAAATCCATTCAGGAGTTCAGTCGGGTCTGCAGAACTGGGCGAAGGCACTCTGGCACTTGCGAAAATCGAATTCGCTGGGATCCCGAAACCCAATCAGGAGGAGAGGGAAGGTTGCTGAGAACTCAACATCTCAGCGGGATCCATGGTCCAACCATCAGGCAACAGGTCAAAAGTTGAACCATCGTAAAGCCAGAGTGGATTTGCAGGACACATCCAAAGTTGAACCCCACGCCATGAGCTCTTTTTGGCACGATCCTCGGGATGATAATTCTCCCATACAGTGGAGTGACGAAAATTGCTTTTGGACTAGGTGACTAGAGGTGTGGTCCTCACATGTTTCGCCGATCCCTTCTGTGATCCTTCCCCCCATGCCCATCGCCCATCCTTCAACCAACTCCCTTCCCTTCCGCCTCTCTGGTTCACAGGGCTGGCTCTCGGGCTCCCCTGGAGCAAAACCGCCGGAGCTCCAACCGCGGTTCACCAGATACCAGCGGGTGGCATTTGGGTTTGGACCCGGAGTGGCCACCCACACCGACACCGTGATGGTCGGAGCCTCATCTCAAGGATGAGAAAAACGTGCTCCACCCGATCTGCCTGAGCCCCAAAGGGTGCCTGAATCAAACACGTCTCAAGGTGGTCCTCACCTATACAAGAAAACCTATTTACTATTCTCCCTCCAACGAACATGCAAGTGGACAAGCCCTGTAGAGGAAAATTGTCTTTCCAGTGGTCATGTTCCACTTCCATGATTGTTGAAGGGAGTGCTTCCTTTTGTTTTTAATTTGCGAGGCTTAAAGTCTGCTTCAAAGTCCTCCGTTTTGCAGGACTGGCGAGGTTTGCTTTATGGTGGGATATATAGTTTTTGTTGTATATGTAAATTGTAGGACCCAAATAATTACCGGTATGTCGTTGGTACCAAGAAACTCCCCCCCCGAAAAAAGTCGTAGAAAGTGGTACCTCCAGGTGCCGTTTCGCTCGTTTCTCAACACCGGCCTGGAGGTGCGTCAGGGGCGGCGGCGAGCGCACACGTGCGCTGGCCATGGCCTCGCGGATTCGTGAAGAAAGTGGCAAGAAGTTTGCATGTTCATTCGTTTTTTCTTCAGTTTGTTCTTGAAATGTTGGCTTTTTTGGTCCCGGTCTATATGATTGTGTTTGGGGAGTTGGAAACGCTTTGTGCAACAAGAGTGGTCTTTAAAGGAAAATTGAGATGTTTGTGACAGTTTGTGTTTTTTGGTCTTAAGTGTTTAAGATGTTTGAGGCTTTTCCCTTTTGATGGTTCTGGGAGTCTTGAAAACGCCAAAGATATCATATTAAGTGCCTTCCCTTCCCGGATTCCCTTCCTTCCTTCCTGCCTTCCTTTCTTGGTCAATTTTGTTAGGGGCAAATGAGTGGAGAAGCCCTCTTCCAAAGGTGAGGCACTTGGACAATGGTGGCAGCACTGCTGGACCAATCCTTCTACAGATCCAAAGGTAAAACCCACTGAGACATGTGGGGGTCTGTGCTCCGCTGAGATGTACATTGTTTCAAGGCATCAGTCTACATCCGAGTCTCTCCATGCGCTCTCCAAATAGCTGTGTCTCGGACTTCCCACAGGACCGCATGGCTTTCGTTCTTCCACCACTTCCAGGGCTCACTCTCACCTCCGGACGAAACCTATGGAAGCTGGTGAAAGATGTGAAAGAACCACATGCATTCATTCACTCACTCACTCACTCTCTCTCTCTCTCTCTCTCGGTCGGCACCGCCGGAACGTTCTCCGCACGCCCGGGAAGCACATCCGCAGCCTGCAGGTCGCACCTCGGGTCGCTGGGCGACAGCCGGCGACGGCCGCGCGGCGGCGACGGCCTTTCGCATCGCTTCGGTGGATAGAAAAGTAGATCCCCACTACAAATGAGTTAGATGAGCTTTTGGGGGACCACTATAGTCTGTTCAGGTCCCTTGGTCACATGAGGAATCACCTGAGCGAAGTCAACTGCGTAGGAATTAGAGCAGAGCCATCCAGAATCCAGAGTAGAGGGTTCGCAATGAATTGATGTGAGGTCTGAAAGGTGTTTATTGAACTTCCTTGAAGGAAAACGCTAGAACACAATATATATATATATATACTGAGCGCAAATGACTTAGGAGTAGTGGGTACTAGTGAGTCAGGAGTATCCCCCAGCAACTCCCATGTCACCGCACAAACCACAGCAAAACAAAGGGATACAGTACTACCCAGAGTGCCACACTGATGACATAGGAGTTGGAGAGGTGCCAAGCACCCACGTCATGTGGAATACCAGCATCAAAAAAAAACAAGACATGCCAAGAAAGGATGTGTTTGGCCAGTTTTCCTAGAGCGGCGCCTGATGACATAGGACTTGAACACCTATGTATTTGAAGCTTTTTCCTGATGGCTTAGGTTTCACTTGTTTCGCCTACCTCCGACAAGTCCTGGGTCACTAGTCCTCAGTATATACATGAAAACTGCGTGAAACAAACCTGGAATGTCTGCCAACTTGCCCCTGAATTACTTTCCCCTCGTCACTGCCCCAAGGTTCTTGGCATCTTCTCTGCTACGCCGAGCAGGACACCTCCTCTGGGGCGTCCGCATTGACTTGGCGTTGCGGGCGATGGTGATGGCCACCGGGCATCCGCCGCCCAGCATGGTGCGGAAGCCTCGGCTGCGTCGCAGCGCATGACGAGCCCTGTCCGTCTTTCGCTTTTCGCAGTGCACGTGGGTTCGTTCGCCTGAAGAAACAAGGAAGTGTGGAAACAAGGTGAGCGGGTTTCCGCTGTAGAATCATTTTCGGAACATCTCAGCAAGTGTGGGAAAGCTGCCACCCTGCACACATGATGTTCCAACCTGCACTGGTTCGGTTCACGTGGGACCCACAGGTTCGCCCCAAGACGACCGACCACCTCCGGGCTGGACGTCCCAGGGGGGGGGAGAGCGTCCCCAGAGACTCGTCTCACCACTTCCTCGTCTCACCAGGCACCGTCTCCACACGGAAACACCCAAGGGCGCTCGCCTGATCTTGAGCGCCCAAGCACCGCCCAGGTTCCGGGTGGACCCGGCCGGAGAGTGAGACAGACGAGAGTCAACGGCGACGTTAGACAAGCTGCCACCGGACCCACAGCGGATGGGTCAGGCCGGTCAACAGGATGTATTCCAACCAATGTGGACAGTCAGTAGACAGTCGATGAATAATCACCAAGCCTCCCATCTTCACAATGGTTCTATATCTCTAGATGGGGGGGGTTCAACATGTCACTCAATTAGAGAACGTGAGAGGTCTTCCAAAACCATGAGCGGCTGGCTTGTCGACGCCTTCCCAGAACATGTTTCTGTTATATACATGGTTCACATTTCCATGCGGAGTCCGCATCTCTTTAAAAAAGAAGGTACAGAAGTCTCACAAAGAAAGAGACTGCCCATGGTGATGCGAAAGTCTACACATGGACTTTCCATCCACTCCCCAAACCCCCAAAAAGCCTACCACGCTGATCCCATGCAGAGAGCTCCTGGCCCACTCTCCACAGGTCTCAGCTCCCGGCCCACCGCCGGGCTCTGGGTGATCACGCGGTTGGGCAGGCGCCCGGGCCTTTCAGGACATGTGACTCTGCCGTTGTCCTCCATCTGTTGCCCTTCGCGGGAGATGCCCCCCCCATCCCCCAACCAAGGCCGGTTTTGCAGGTGATCCACTGGTCCATGTGTAAAACCTCGTCCAAGGCCGGAACTTGGTTTCATCCACCGCCCAGGCACCGCATCCACCCGCGGCCCTCGCTCCCCCCCGCTCCGCATCAGCGCGAAGTTCCAGGGCCGCCGTGCGACGAGGCGGAGCAGGAGTCGGGTGAAGGCTCCAAGGCCCCGGACGATGCCAGAGGAATATTCATGCTGCTGGTCATGCAGCGTCCTGCCACCCAGCCGTTTCTTGACCCGGAAGTGCAGTGAGGGTGAGGGTCACATGTCATTCCCCAGTGACAGAATACGGCGACACTCACAAGCCTCTTGCAAACACGCCCCTACTGAGACGGTGTCCTTTTGGGGCACCTAATTTGCGGGCCCCTAAGCATGTTCCACCTTCATTCATCACCACTTCCATCCTGTATCCTGTAAGGTGCACATCGTAGTTGGCGGTCGCTACGTTTGGTAGTTGGCGGCAAGAAAACGTCCCCCCAAGCCTGTCAGAGAAGACAAATCAAGAGGGCCTTTCCCTGAGAATCGGCCGCGAGAGCTGCGTGATCTAAGAGTGCGGGCGTGTAAAGACAAGACCACCTAGCTTCGGTCTTCATGGGGTTGGATGGGCACTACATGGCACTACAACTTCTGCATAGCTGGTTGTTCACAGTAACTATGGGCTTGGGACCTTGGGAGGTTATAAACTCTAAACCCCTGGGAAACAAAAGAAGAAACTGGAAGACAGCTTTCCTCCAAAATGCCCCGCTGCCCGACTGACATGGAGCATCTTCATTGTGTGTGTAGGTCCACTTGTAGGATCAGCTCCTTTGGGAGTTCCCCTTGCCAATCTGCAGGCCCACTGCCACTCCAAAGGCTCCTCCGGTAGGACCGACCGGCCACCAACCAAAACCCCCTCGAGCCAGTAAGGCAGCGGTTTTTTGGGGTTTGCTTTCCAGCATGGCGCACAGACATCACCTAGAAGCATCAAGCAATTGAGAGCACAGACATCGCATGCTGGAAGACTGCGTGGGGGGAAGCAAAGCTTGCTGCCGGATGATCAGCGCGGTGTCGGTGTCAGGGTCGATCTTGGGTGAAGCACCTTCCACTCAATCGTGAGGCGAGTTGGTCAGGGAAGGGAATCTGGAAGACAAAGCCACCACCTCCAGCCAACAACAACGCAAACCTAGACTTGCAAAACACTGCAGTCCCAAAACCAGAGCATGACACCAAACGACGGAAGCAAGTCTGTCATCTTTCTCCCAGCTGGCGGCATATCCGGGGAGCACGCCCAAGTCTTTTCAAAGCGCTTTGGCTTCGTGTTCGCTGCGCGGCGAAATGTACTCTGGCCACGTGGCTGCCACGTAGCTTCGTGTTGGCGGACTCGCAGAGACCGAACTGGCGCAATGCTGCAAACAGGTGAGGGAGCAGGAGAAAGATCCAATGAATTCCTTTGCGAGCCCCTCCCTACAGTCCTGTAGCACGGCTTTTTTTGGATTGAACTCTCCCCAGACAGCCGATATGAGAATCAGGTCTCTCAATGTCTTTCATTTAGAAGGGCACTCCTGCAGAATGTGTCTACTAAAGCTGTGAAGAAACACAGGCCTCAACCAAGATGATTTCCACGTAACCGAGTCAAATCATGACTTTGGATTCCATCATCCAAACGTGAAGGTAACAAGAGCAAACGTGCTGGCAATAGTAGCGTCGTTACTAACCTTGGATGGAGAAAGTTTCCCAGAATCGCGAGCCCCACAGGCAGCACAAGCTTCTGTGACTTGATTTGGGCCTAGAACAACTCCCAGTAGGCCCACTTCCCGCGTCCCTATCCCTCCCATTTTGGGACGCCTAAAGCTCCTTCTTGGCGACCTTCACCTCTTCCTGCCAAGAAGACAATGCGGCTCAAACCAACGAAGCTAGAACCGAAATGCGAATTCTGGTCGGTTTCGAAACGGCTTTTGACCCACCCAGCGGAAAATGCTGGGCATATCCATATTCCCCTCCACAGAAATCATCGAAATGATTCACCAAGCACAGGCAGACTCTTTTTCCAGCATCCAAAACTTGAAGATTCAAAAGAGACTGAAAATCTAGACCAAATTCATCAAAGACTTTGCATGCAACTCTTTCACCGGCACGAGGCTGTACAAGCGCGCCATGCAATCATCTTCTCTGCCATGCTTAGCCGTAACAGCTTTTCCAAGTTGGAGGAAAAAACATGATATGATGTGATTAGTGGCCTTCAACGATCCAAAAGGCTGATGACACGATGCTACGTAACTCCATTCACCCTGGCGCGCTCTTCTGCCTTTGGACAGGCACTCCGTTAGGCTCCAAATGCACCCAAAAAGGAAGAAACACAAGTCGTGCTACATTTGTCCATCTCACGTTTTTGCAAGCCCAGGAACAAGGCATTCTGATGAAAGAAGGAGCTGTCAAACCAGAATCGTGCAATTCAGCAACTCCAAGAAGTTTAACCAGGTTTTCCACAAGGATCTTTCAAGTCTGCGTGGTTTGATTTCACTCGGATCCTAAAAGTGCCTCATTATGCTACTCGAGCTCGCTAGGATCCCCGTGACCCACTCCGGCTCCACTCTCAATGTCTCAGACAAGTGTTGAAAGCGAGGATCATCCCTCTTCGCCGAGAATGGTAGGATCAAGAGCTTCTCCTTCTGCTTCCTCTCCCTTCGCCTCATAAAACCACTTCCTCTCACATGGCGCTCCCGCCGTTCCAACGGCCGGTGTTCCGGAGGACTCACAGATCGACCGCCACGGCCATCCGGTGAGCTCCCCTCACTGTCCCACGCAAGCTGAGGGCTTGACCCCAAATCATCTATGCCATTCGGGGAGGTCGACCGGGTCGAAACCGTGGACGCAGAATCCGGTGATGGCTTCTGTCGTTCAAGCCTCGCAGAAAAGGTCCCCCCCCGCGCGCGTCCCCGCACGGCTCGGGCGACGAAAATCGCTCCCGCTCGGCGGCGCCGGAGGCACCGCCGAAAGGCGCGAGGTCTGTGAGTGCATCACCAAGCCCTCGTCATTGGCGAACGGTTTGGACTGCCCCTCCACGGTCTCGGAACCTTCACACTCCAAGTGCGCCGTCCTCGCCTTCCGCGGGCTCCGCCGCGTGACCGGACACGGCGACTGGAGCAACGCCAGCGCGCGGCCCGCCGCCACACGGTGGGCCGCCAGGCGGCTGCCCCGCGCCGCCAGCGCCGGCGAGCCGCAGCGGACATGGTCGCCATCCGCGGCACCCGCTGGAGCCCAGCCGCCCAGCTCCATGGGAGGTCGCTGAAGGCCGGCGCCAACGCGGAGGGAGACCGTGAGCCAACGTGGAGCGTGCAACGCAGGATCGTGTGGCCCAACTACATCAACCAAAGGGGGTACAGATGAGGTGCGATGATCCCGGCACTTCGGACCTGCGCAACCAAAGGCATCGTGCTTCACTAAGAGATATCACACATCGATGGACATCGATGGACATCGGCCACATCGGCCTCCTCAGGATCGTCGTCATCCTCGGGTTCGAAGTCGAAGAACTTCACGTCGCTGGAGCCACAAATGTCCACCTCCCAGCCTCAGGTCGAAGCGTCCGACGGTTTTGCCCCCACCAGGCCTATGGGTTTGCCACAAACTGAAAAAAACTCAAACCACTAAGAGATAACAAAATCACCAGCAACGCGGGGAAGAAATTAATGAAACTAAGGAAAAACCAGGAAACCCACACATCACCAGAACAAGAGACAGAAAAGCTATAAGAGACCCGCGTTAAAACGATCCTACCCTCCCGCATTCCAAAACTATCCTTATCCTGCGTTCCAGAACGAACCCGGCGGTTCCTTGAAAAGGTGCCCCTAGGAGGCCCTAGGCCGCAAAATAGAGAACGGCCTGTTCCAACCCTATGCTGAACGGCCTGCGAGCCCTCAAAGGGGAACCAAGCCCCGAAAACCGAAAACAAAAAGTAACAAAAGAAAGCACATGAACCAGCAGTGCCCCGGTCACATCCACTCACTGGATGGGATTAAATAACACCACCCCCCTTGGTGACTCCTGGTGGGCAACACCTTCGGTCTCCAAACCCCTGGCGCCTCCCAGGGCCCACCACCTGGGGGGCCAGGACAGAACGTCGCCAGGTCCTCACCCAACGTGAGGGCCTCGCGGTCATCGACTCCGCCGACGTCATCGACTCAGCACACGTCGCCGGGATCAACTCCTCACCACGTGTGCGCCACGTGGTCAAATGGTAGTTGGGAGGCTTGGCAACAAACAACTGGTTCATGCGCTGTTCCGGGGATTTGATGTGAAACTTTCTGGAGGGTTGCTTGGCAATTGGGGACTAAATCACACACCACTCACCGAAACAAATTCCAACACATCCAAAAAACACATCCGTTTGGGATAAGAGAATGGGCCGTTGAACGCCCCACGTGCTCAGCACGAACCCAACCCAAGTGTTGATACTCTTTTGGGTGGTGGTGGTCCTTGGTTCATCGCGGAACCGCGTCCATGTCTGTCCCACGCCTGCCTTCCCCCAACTGGCGGGAACGCATGCCATCTTTGAGCTTCCCCACATCAACCAGGCTCTCGCCAAAGGTCTCGAGAACATCGTCACACTCGAATTGCAACTGGGAACGGGTGATTTGTCGGTCCGACAGCGCCGCGAATACTTAATTTGTGATCAAGGATTGGAGAAGGATGGGGATCCGGCGTGCAATGACCGAAAAAGGGCACTAGCCGTCACTAGCCTACAAACCCCAAAAGGAATCCAATCAGTACCAGTTGATGGCAGCGTTTTTGGCGGAACAAGCGCACCGCCTTGGAGGCCATGGATGGAGATAACACGAATGATTCATTGGAAAGGGCAGCTGTTCGAGTAAAGGTTCACCACCTGGCCAACCACGCTCTCTTGGAGGAGTATGAGTGCAAGCTGTCTGAAACACAGGCACTCAAGAACATGCGGGTGCCTCCCGGCCGGGCTATCAAAAAGAAAATTTAAAAAAAAATATTCTGCATCCTATCAAAAAAGTAATTAATATCAAAAACAAAAAATCCGTTCACAAAGAGCTGCGCCTGCCACTGCGAACCGCCTTGGCAGCACTGCGCGATGTGAATCTGGATGTGCAGATTTCCTAGCAGGCGCAGCACTTTGAGCGCCTTCAGTAGCAGATTTCGTGGCAGGAGCGGTACTTGGCGCACTGGAAGTGCAGATTTCGTGGCCAGCACAGCACTTTGAGCACCTCCAGTGGCAGGTTTTGTGGCAGGAGCAGCGCTTTGCGCATTGGAACTGCAGATTTCGTGGCAGGCGCAGCACAGTGAGCACCTTCCGTTGCAGGGCTCGTGGCAGGCGCAGCACCTTTTGCACTCGAACTGCAAGTTTCATTGCAGGCGCAGCACTTGAACCTCGAAGGGCAGATTGCGTGGCAGGCGCGGTTGCTCACAAAGCAAAGGCTTGCTACATTGGAATGGCAATTTATGCTCTAAATTTTACCTTGCAAGGCTAACAAAAGGTCTGCAACGTTGGAATGGTTCCTTCTTCTTCTAAATTTTGCCCTCAAGTGGCTGACAAAAGGTTTGCTTTGGAATGGCACCTTCTTCATTCAAATTTTACCGTCAGGGTGGCTCACCAAAAAATCTGCTACATCAGGTGATAAAATGTCTGCTACGGTGCTTCACAGGATGTATGACCAGATTTCCAAATCACCTTGAACGCGTCTTACCTCGAAAGTGCAGACCCAAGGACCCGAAGACCAGGACAAAGGACCAGAGGATGAGAGGACCAAGGGATCATTAGGACCAAGGGACCAAACAACCAAGGGACCAAAGGACCAAGGGACCGGAGGACCAAGCGATCAGGGAACCAAGGGACCAGACCAAGGGACCTGAGGACCAAGGGACCAGGAGACCAAGGGACCAGGCGACAAGGAGAGGACCAAGGGACCAGAGGACCAAGGGACGACCAAGGGACCAGGCGACCAAGGGACCACAGGAGCAAGGGACCAGAGGACCAAGGGACCAGAGGACCAAGGGACCAGGGGACTAAGGGACCAGGACAAAGGGAGCAAAGGACCAAGCGATCAGGGAACCAACAGGCCAGGACCAAAGGAGTAGAAGGTTTTTTTTGATACGATTTCTTTTTTGATTGGAAACAATTTTTCATTGATAAATATATTTTTTTTTGGTAGGTAGGTATCCCGTGCTTCCCGGCGGGGGCAGAAAGACCAGCGTTGTTTCTTGGAATCCGCGTTGGCTTTTGGATCTGCAATTTTACCAACCCCCGGTGTACCAACCTCAAGCTTTGGCCACCAAAGCCGCCCCGCGCGGGCGCTCAGGCGCGCGCGGTTGGATGATGCAGAGTGTATCCCTTCGGATTCGGAAGCTGTGTCAGCGCATTCCTGCGGGACGTAAGCCAGGCGGCACAGGGTTGGAAGACACACGGCCTGCGTATGCCACACGAGGCTTTGCAAAGCTGAAATGGGTCACTCCCACCGCTATGCTGCGCACCTGTTGCAAACCTTCCGCGCCAAGACTTCCAACACCTTCTTTTCGGGAGCCTGCCAAATTTGGTCCAATGGCCCCTACTGGACCAGGGGGAACACGACCAAAGGAACACTCACGAAGCTTCAACTGAGGCCCTCACTTGGCCCTGCGACCCGGCACCAATGTAGTGGTACGGACCTCAACCACCGACGTCCGAAGCGCTCGGACCTAAAACACCGAGACATTGGGACTGCTAGGCATTGGGACCTTGGGGCCACTGCACATCTTAGCGCCAAAATCCCCGGCCCGTAGCATCCCATGGCCCAAGTGGACAGAACAACCGCACCGGTTCCACAAGCAGTTGCCAATGCAAAGTCCACTTCCAAAACCCTCAAATTTCGTGGCTTTCGCGGTCTTCGCCGTCGATCCGAGGAGCTCCCAGGCTTCGTGGTCTTCGCTTGCCTCCAAATGTCCCCAGCTTCCACGGCCAACTTCTGACCTCGCTGGGGCCAAACGGCCGAAGCGCCACGCGTACGCGGCGTGGTCGACTGAGGCGTATGAACCACGTGTGGTTTGTAAGAACGGCTGAACAGCCGCCGAACATGTATGTTCTGAACAACGTGGCCTCATGGCCCCTGCAACTCGCAACATTCCAGCAACCCCTCACTCATTGCCACAAGGTCACCTGCTGAGATTGCTGACGGAAGGACAGGTCACATGTGCTGGCCCGTCCAGCCATGCGCGGACACTGACAAGGAAGGAAAAAGTTCAAAGAGTGCAGGGCGATCCGAGGAAAGTACCGAGGTCGCATTTTGTTTGACCAAGGCAGAAATTCACGCTATATGTTTCCTTACACCTGCAACAAGCGCAACAATGCAGTCTTGGCCACCGAGGAAGACCAACCGAACATGTTCCAAGACCATTGCTGCGTTCGATTTTTTCCTGAACTAAACCCACAATAAATCACAATTGCATCCACGCACCGGATCACCAGTTACAAGGTGACACCGACGTCTTGGCGCACCAACAAACACAAGCAACGCACGCCAATTGCGGACAGAGCACGCAATTTAGAACCAAACACCATATTAGAAGTGGTTTGATAAACACCACGGCACAGTCCAATTGGGAAATCCAACTGTGGCATGTGTGTATTTCGTGACCTGCACAGGCCAAAGACCACTCATTAGCGAAAAACATTTACATGTTTAAGAAAAAAAAATTGAATCCTTTTTTTTTGATTCGATCTTTTGGGATGATTGTTGTTGCAGTCAGTAGTGGTGGTGGTGGTGGTGGCGGTAGTAGTAGTAATAGGAACAGCAATAGGAATAGGAGTAGTAGGAGTAGTAGTAGTAGTAGTAGTAGTAGCAGTAGTAGCAGTAGTAGTAGTAGTAATAGTAGTAGTAGGAATAGTAGAGGAATAAGAATAGTAGTCGTAGTAGTAGTAGTAGTAGTAGCAGTAGTGGGAGTAGTAGTAGTAGTAGTAGTAGTAGCGGTAGTCGCAGTAGTAGCACTGGTAGCAGTCGTAGCAGTAGTAGCAGTAATAGCAGTAGTAGCAGTAGCAGTAACAGTAGCAGTAGCAGTAGCAGTAGCAATAGCAGTAGCAGTGGCAGTAGCAGTAGCAGTAGCAGTAGCAGTAGTAGTACTAGTAGTAGTCGTACCAATACCAGTACCAGTCCCAGTACCACTAGTACTAGTGCTGGTACTGGTAGTAGTAGTAGTAGTAGTAGTGGTAGTAGTAGTAGTAGTAGTAGTAGTAGTAGTAGAAGTTGTTGTTGTGGTGGTGGTAGTAGTAGTAGTAGCAGTAGAAGTAACAGCAGCAGTAATAGTAGCAGCAGCAGCAGTAGTCGTCGTCGTCATCGTCGGCGGCGTTGTGGCAGCAAGGTACCACTACTAGAGCAATTTGCTCGCATAAACCATCAAAGCTGGAGGGGTGTAGCTGGTAGTTGGTAGGTAGTATAGAAACAGCCGCTAAGCTACGGTTCCTTTTGGGCCGCGAGCTACAAGGTCGAGTCATGACATCCTAAGTATGTGCAAGATACAAAGTGTACGTATTACATGGAATGAAAATACACCCCCCTCAGCTAAGGTAGCTTTGCCACCGAAGCTGGACGTGTAAAGTGCACGAGGGCTGGTGCAGGGCACGACAGTGATGTCGGCTCATTGCAGCGTGACAGGCGCATAACCCCCACAGCACCGAACACCCGGCTCCAAACACACACCCGGCATTGTACTGTTCAGGGAATAAGGTTCCGACCGACCGCTTTTGAGTGGCCACCTCCTCACATAATTGGAAGAATTGGCATGTGGTGACGACGTGTCATAAACCTGATCCACACCGCGCGCTGCACAGCGTAAATTATACTGCAGAAACTATTCCAGGAACCCGAATAAATATATAATTAGTGCATGGCCCATAATTGTCGTAATTGATCCTGAAGATGGAACACCGCGCCCAATTCAGAGGCCATACACATCATGAACGAGAAGCGCCGCAGGCACGTGGTTTCGAAAAATGTTTGCCAAAACCATCGCGTTTGGCACAACACGGACGTTTACAGCAAAAATGTTGGTCAACATATATGGTCCAGGTGGTAATCAAGACTGAGCTAGATGGTGACAGTTGTACCGACAGGGATGCCATCATGTAACATTGCCGTGTCCCGTTAAGGAGCGCAGTCCGAAAGCAAAAGCAATCAACTGCCGCCCACCCACGTTCCGCCCCCACGCTCTTCGTGCCAAGCGCTGCTTGGAAGCCCTGCTGGAAACAAATGCCCGGCAAAAACCGACAATGTCGCGGCCTCTACGTCCGACAGCCCAGGCACCCAAGGACGAAGGGAGGTGAGCGGCGATCGTGCAAAGAACAGGGGCCAGTGGAAAGCACGAGGGCTGAACCAAGATGGCGAGGTCGAGGTAGACACATCCATCTCTTGATCGAAACTTGGCAGGTTCGATTCGTCGACACATGGGGGTTGGCCGAAGTGCCATCGCGCTTTTGGGGACATTGCCAGCGCATGGAAGCGCCACACCGGGCACACCGGGCACACCGCTGGACAAACGTCGCCCGCGTCGTCGCAAACGTCGTAGCAAGGCAGGGGGCGTTTCAGCAGACTCGCCGAGTCAACCCAGGTCCGTCACCTGGAGTCAACCCCGCACACAGGTTTGAAAGAAGAGACTGCTGAACGGAGGGGCGATCGCAAGGTCAGGATTTGGGCCCTTTTTCGATCAAAGAGTTGATCAAGGATGATCAAGGTTCAGTTTCAAGGAGAGGTTTGTAGGTGTTTGGGTTCCTTGCCTCAACCTGGTTCCCTGTCGTTTCCAACGTCCGGCCTTCCCGAGTCGCGGCGTGGACGTGAGTCCCAACACGAAGAGCAGCGGCAGAGGAAAACGGGACGACTTGGAGGGTGTTCTTTTCTCTCCGTGGAAGGCAGACAGGGTGAAACAATGCCACAATGCCACAACAATCTTCGTTCCTTCTCATGCTCGCTTACAGGGGGACGATGGACCAGACGCCTTCGGCCAGACGCCCCGGGCGACAACGGCAGAACACCGCCTACTCGGCCTCTTCGACCTGTCCGAGGCCCGCAGGGGCCCGCAGGGAGCGAGGAACTGGCAGGACCACAAGTTGGCCCGAAAGGCGACGGGTTCTTGGGAAGTGTCCATTGTTCAATTCCACTTCGCGCAAGAACAAGGCGATATCCTTCCTCCGTTTGGCCCCTTGGTTCACCATGGAAAAAAAAAACGTGGAAGACTTCCATGTTCGAAGGCACTCCGCCGGTGGCGCTCGCTTTCGGTCGCGGTCTGCTCTGGGCGCTCTGTGGCCGAGGCAAATGGGACACCTCTGGCCACTGCGCCCTTCATCACCCCGCCGCTTCCTCGGTCACGGATCTCGCGACAAGCGTCGAGATCCATCAAAAAACAAGGAGAAAAGTGGCGTCAGTGTTCTGACTCCTTCCAAATGTCCAGGGTTTCCTGCGAAGACCGTCCTATTCTTTTGAAAAATGAGTTCCTGGCAGTTCCGAAATCACTGCTCCGATTTGTTGCAAGGACATGGTGACATTTGTAATGGGTCAAATGCTCAATACATCCTCCGGGTGCCAATCCCAGTACCAGTTGACACACGAAACCTTCCCAGCTTGGATCGCAGTGACGTGCTTTTGCCAGCAACCAGGGTTCCAAGTCCTTCCGGACCAAAAACACAGGGTTGACCAAGTCCATGTCGGAATTGATTCCACCAAAAAGAATCACAAACACCAAGCAATTGGTTCATGCGAACGCTACTTGCCATTCTGGCTGGTGGTATGGATCTCATGACATGTGCGTCAGGAAAAAATACACAACAAGTACCGGCGTCTCTTCATCTGAAGTGTGAGGTGACCACGTGAACATCAAGAATTACAGCATGAACCAAAAGTAATTGACTAAATCAATTTATGAATCTTACAAACTAAAGTTTGCAGTCCTGACTGCCAGAGAAAAAACATCCACAAAAAAGATGCCATGGCTGCCATGGCTTTCCACCATGTCTGCCGAAAAATCGAAACGCACGCAGTTGAAGACCTCATATGTCATACGTGTTGAAAAATCAAAACTGTGTTTTAAAGAAATGACAGCTGTCCTGTGTGTATAATTGGCGATGGATCGCTTTATTGACCTTGTGAATGGCTAGAACGTCGTTTTCCTTCACAAACATCCACTGAGCAAATACTGCAACGGGTGGGAAGCAGCTGTTCATACATGGACACGCAATCAGTCTGCACCCGTGCTGATCAGAACGGATTGACGAACAAAACAAACTGCTGGCAACCAACGACTGCACAACCAAACCAAAATGCCCGTACGGTCAAACACAAAGACAATCACAAATTAGATTTGCATGAAGTGTCATGCTTTCAACACTTCAGCATGCGCAACTTGTTCCAATAGCTCTGTCCAAGGTGCTGAGGGGAAGTGCACAAAGTTGGGTCGCGTTCACAGGTAGCTGGGGAGGTCATTTTCGTTTGGGAACGAGAATGGTCACTTTTCCGTTTGGTGTCTGGCATTGAAGCACCAACGAAAAAGTCCTCTACGCCTTTTTTTCGACTCGGAGGTCCGGACACTTCTACGCCCTTCGGATCTGGCCTCTCATGACGGAACTCTGTACTGGTGCTGCTTGGGATGGGCCGGCTTTCTGCTTTCCAAGACCGTTGCAACTTCGTCAAGCAGCACTTTGGGTTGACCGAAATGCACAAGGGGGGAGAGGATCAACCCCCAAGTCGAAAAAGGCGCAGATGATTTTTCGGTGATTTTTCGGTTGTACTTCAATGCAAAACACAAAACAAAATAGTGACGGCAAACCTCATTGAAAAGCATGAAACGTTTTCCTGGGTTTCTTCAAGCAAACTCGAATGTGTAACATTTATTCTCAAGGGCTGGTGAGGTGGGATCTTGTTTTTCCCCCTCAAAGCGTGAATTGTGGACAGTGCCGCGCATCGCCACATAGGAGAACACGAAAAAGAAGTGAAGACTACAGGGTGAAACAGGATAAATTGCATTGTATATATACATAGCGTTTGTCCGGCTCTTAGTAAAATTCGCTCAGAATTGAGTATCGAGGTCGGTTCAGTGAAACCACGCATGCAAACAAGACAGAGGCAAACTACGTGACGTCCTGCTTCGGCCCTTTGTGCGACCAATAGAAGTTGTCAGTGACCTCGCTATCCGGTATAGCTGGTCAGGCTACCATCCCTCTGCACTATTATGGCGGATCTCCTTTTGGCAGTTTTATGACCGTTTTGCAACTCTTGCGAAAATGACAACTGACAGTTCTATCCCTGATTTCAATTGGGCTACTATCATTCCTTCGGTCTATCTCCAAGCGTGGCTGCGCCTACTGCGCTGCTTCTCAAGTAAGGCCTCGAATCGTGAAAAAGATGAGGCACTTCAGGATGTCCTCCCATTATTCCACAACAGAAGTATTGACCTACCATTCCGTTTTCTTACAGATCAAGAAGTTTTTCAGGTGTCAGGACTCAGCAATAACTGTGCGAACATTACAAAGCTGAAGCATCTTCTGAGTTCTCAAACGATACGCTCCTTTGTTGGTAACTCTTTTCATCCCAAGCTGATCAGCATTGCCATCGGCTTACCGGCTGATATTCAAGCATGGGCCAAAGGTAAACTCGAAAGTGTTACCAACATTGCCACCGCAGACTGTAAGAAACAATTATTTGTTGCTCAAACAAGCCATTGAGCAAGACTTTGCTACGCGCAGGTGTAATCCTGCATCAGCCATCATCCAAGAACCGTATCGACATTTGGACTTTCGAGCTTTTGTCATCTCACCTCTTGATAGGCCTCAAGTTGCCCAGCCCACAATAGGCAACCTGTTGCCTGTCTATCTCACAAAAGAAACAACTCAGAGAGATCAAAAACGGGAACTTGGCAAACGTCTTCGAATTATAGGCAGTCCTCCCTTTCGGCAATTCCTTGTCGATACTAAATTTTCTGCTCTTATTAATGATACTGCCGTTCCGCAGTGGCTTGTCTTTAATCATGAGATTGCTAATGCACTCGCTATTACTGTTGACTCCCCTTGGCTAGGAGGCTACAAGCAAGCTCTATTACTCAATCCATCATTTCCTGGCCTTGTACTCTTCCTACGATGCATTGTTGGTGCTACCCCAAATGGCCGCACCGGCTTCATTATTGTGTGGAACAAACTTCAGCCTGTACACATTCACTACATTGGTCCGAACGAAGTTGAACACATTTATTTGCTTCGACTTGATGACACACTAGAGTTCATGTTTTTCAAGTATGGCGGGCAGTCTCTCGACATTCGCCAACCTGTCACACATGACTCTACATATACACTCATGTTTTGCGCCAGCACTGCCCTTGTTACGGCCACTGCAAACAATGTTGTCGCTTTAGCGCTCCAGCAAGGTGTGTTCTCCTTCGTTACTGAGGTACCATGTCTATATGCCTTCCGGGAACCGGGCTGTGCCCTCTGGAGATTGGCACAAAGTGCCTCTGCCAAAGCTGGTACCTTCCAACAGCACCCAGTTGTCAATAATTGCCACCTTGTTCTGTGTCAACTGCCACTTATTCTTGTTGAAGGGCGCCTGGAGGGGGATGCTTCAGCATCTGTCCCTCTAGTGTTTGTGCCCTTTATCCTGATGAGCAGTCAGCCATTTGGAGCTCTACCACTCCGTTGGAGTACTGTGTCCTCTTTATTTGTCAGGCATACACCACCCGTGCCGAGAGTGAATATGATTACATTGCCACTTTCACTCACAACGAGTATATCCAAGAATATGGCCTTCCGTCGTATGCCACTGTTCTCAATGAAGCAAAACAACTTAACACTCACACCTGCATAGACTCATGCCATCAAACCGCGGTCGAGAATGGTTGGTACGTTTGCATCTACGGAGAGGCTGCTCGCTTTGTGTTTCGGAGAGCTCAAGCTCTCATCCCAGGCACATGACTTTTCTTTACCTCCTTTCACTCAAGTCCCTCCGTATAGTGCAACGTACCTTCTCGGCAGGTCTTCGCGCGGTTTATTGGCATAACACAAAAGAGAACTGTGGCAAGTCACTCACTCATGTCTCCTCACTTCACTTTTTGATTCACTTTGTGAATCCTCGATCTTCTCTATCTTTGCGGCTTTGACAGTGCAACAAATCTTCATGACGCAATGCATGTTCTGCAAGCATGCTTAGACAAGTATAGAAGTTGTGGTGTGCCTGTTGCCCTGGACGACGATGAACATCACCCCCTGGTAATGCCTAATGTTCAAGAACATGTGTGGGCATAAACGTTCGCGGGGCGTGGAGAACAATTGCTCGCGGCGCTGCGAAACCATGGGAACCCAGTGGCCCAGCGGTATGCAAAAATTCTGTCACGTACCTGCGGAAACAATCGAAACTTGCACTATTTTTCGCCCGGCGGCAAAAGTTTTGCCGACAAACGGCCCCCGTTAACGGGGGCCAAGTCGTCCGGACACAAGCAAATCAAATTGAGACTGAATGAGTGGCCTCCATTTTGGGGTCCGTTTCTGGACCCCAAAACGGGGGCCGTTTTGTCGGCAAAATTTTAGTCCGCGGGCGAAAAATAGCAAGAGTTTGGATTGTTTCTGCACGTACGCGACAGAAGTTTTCCACGCCGCTGCTTTTCCATGGCTTTGCAGCGCCGCAGGCACTTGTTCTCCACACCCTGCGAACATTTATGGCCACACATGTTCTTGAACTGGGGAGGCCCTCTGTGGCGGGACCGGTTTTTGCTAGGGTTTTTGGAGTCCAGAAAAATCCCTTTTTTCGATACCTTGAAGGAGCAAAAAGTTTGGAAAACCTGTGAGGGTTGAGAATTGCTGGGGAGAAAGCGTTTGGCCTGTATGATGTTCTTGATCGAAAGCAATGTTTCGTTTTATTTGACGTCGTTGTTTGATGCATGTTGTGAAGGATGGGCTTTTGAAAAGATATTGTTGAGGTTTTGAGCTCGCGTCCTTGATGTTCGTTGCAAGCTACGCCAGGCTTCCACCCGGGTCCCGGTTCCATCTTAGCGTCAACGTTAAAATTTTCCCTTGCAACGCACTATATAGGGTTTTTGCGGTTACAATCTGGGTTGGGTCGGACCGTCCATTACAGTGCGCGATACCACCTCGGTACCACTTCATTACGGCTCGGGCCCTTTATTACAATGCGCGGCGCCGCCTCGGTACCGCTCGGGCCTCACTCACTCACTCACTTACTCACTCACTCACTCCACTCACTCACTCACTCACTCCACTCACTCCACTCACTCCACTCACTCCACTCACTCCACTCACTCCACTCACTCCACTCACTCACTCACTCACTCACTCATGCGCGGTACCGCCTCGGTACCGCTCGGGCTCTCCAATACAATGCGCGGTACCGCCTCGGTACCGCTCGGGCCCTCTATTACAATGTGCGGTACCGCCTCGGTACCGCTCGGGCCCTCCATTACAATGCGCGGCACCGCCTCGGTACCGCTCGGGCCATATACTACAATGCGCGGTACCGCCTCAGTACCGCTTCGGTACCGCTCGGGCCCTCTATTACAATGCGCGGTACCGACACCCCGTTTGCGTTTTACAAAGTTTTAATTGGATCGGAGTGAGGAACTTCCAAGAAAACACAAAGACCAACGGAAAGAAACGAAACGCAACCTTAACGTTGTAGTCCCGGCGCTTCTTCAAACGGGGCGCTCCACACTTGCACCAAAGCATTCCAAGTGTACTTCGCGCTCAACCATTCTTTTTGCTTGGTCGGTTGCTTGTCGTTTGTTGGTTTGGGTGAACGTAAAAAGGTTGGCTTTGTGTGAGTCTGTTGGATGTTGTTTGGTTCTTGGTTGTAGGTTTGGGTAGAGGACCTCGGTTGGAGAACAAGTTTTGTTTTCCCGCAAAATATGCGCGTGTGTGGCCATTGGGCCGGAGATTGGTGTTCACCGTGTATTGCCGGGTTTTGACACGTTAACTTTCCAATCGGTAATTGTCCACTTCTTTGTGGCACTTGCCCAAAAAAATGGCCCACGGGCCCTCGCTTC